ACCTTGTGTTAATCACTTCATCTGTCAAGTCTTATTGTTCTGCACATACACACATGGATGAACTAATGAGTAAGCAAGAGGAGGTGACAGAACTAGAAATCAGTCATGCTCTTATGTTGTCATATAGTCTTGATTACATTCCAGGACTCCTGAGGTGAATTTATAGCTGTAGTAGTCTCTTTCCTATCCACTGCACTTAAATAACTGGTATTTTAAATCTATTTGCATTTCTGAGCTACTCAATGAGAGACGTGAGCTCTGACTGCAGTGATAATAAGCCAAAGATACAGCTAGTGTATGAGCAGCAAGCTAGAGATTATCGTATAAATATCAGTGTATAATAGCTGACTTTCCTTGCTGCAGTGGAGAGGTCTTCCCAAGGGAAAAAGAGGGGCTAACCTCGTACTAGGAGCTAAGTAGCATGTACAGTGGTTTATTAAACTCTAAGGCAATTAATCTAAATGTTTAGACAGCTTTGTACCCTGTCCCAGGTATCTTTCTCTTGTGATGTTTTTCTATCAGACCTTTTCTATTATAAGCCTTCAAAGCATTACTCCTGCAACCAAACTGAAGGATTGAAATGAGGGGGGGGGAAAATTCAGGACCTGAAACGTTTTTGATCAGCTAGGCATCTCCTTCCTCCTACCCTTAGGAATTCTGTGTGTTAACTCAACCAGGATGTTCTCAAACCTTTCCGTTAGTTCTTCCCCAGTTAAGAGGAAGCATCTACCAGTTGGAGGAAGTATTGATCAGAGAAGAAATATTCCCTACAAATAAATGGATTATAGATGGACTGCCCCTGTGTCTAAAAGGCTTGGATGCCTTGTTTCACTGATGAAAGTAACTTGCAGAGGCTCAGGTGTTCTTGTCTTCATACAGAAAGAAATCTTGCACCTTTTTCCACTTGTGCAAAGGTGATGTAACAGTGAAGTGTTATGTCAAAGTAAGTGAGAATTGCAATTAATTTAAAAGACTAAAATATCTCTAAACTCTGAAGATGACTTTCTTGCCATAGTTGCCCTGTTTGTTATAATAGGCTCTGTATCTGAAGCAATAGTGGAAGGTAAAACCAGAGGCAGACAGGACTTCCAACTGGTTTCCAGAGAGAAATTGATCTTACTCGCTGTAAAGTTGTTGAGGAATTGAGTTCTACAGGAAGAAATTAATTCCTCTGGGTACCTTTAGGAGATGTTCACCTCCTCATGCTTAAGTTTCCACTCTGTTAGAAGAGTAGTTGATGGAAGAACAAGAAGTAGGAAGAGGTCACGTTGGATGGATGAAGTTGTGGAATAGAACGAAGGGATTATCTACAGAGGCTACCCGATTTATCCTCCTCAGCTAGACAGATGATACTTTATACCCTGTCCTGGTTGGTGCAATAGATGTGCATGTCTGGGAAAAAAGATGCTCCTTCTGGTAGTAGTCTCATTTGTTTGTCTTGATGTATGGTGTATATTGTGATGAATGAATGAGGGGTTTGGATCGGAGCCTTGAAGGTGTGTGATTGAACATAACATGACTTGTGAGCTTTCAGAAGTGTGAATCCAGATGCTGTTTAAGCTGTCAGTGGAATAGCGTTGGCGATTTTGCAGTATTTCTGTAGGAAATAACTTCTGGTGTTCTTAGTTTCTGCTTTTTCTAGAACTGGAAAGACAGTTGGTCAGGGGTGTAAGACTCCTTCCCTCATGCATCTTTCTAGGCTGTCTCTGTGGCACTGGGAGGCTCTGCTGAGCTTTTAGTTTCTTGAAAACATTTAGAACTGGCACCAGGAGACCCGGTCAAGACTGCTTGTTGTCTGTGCTGTACAAACACAAAGGATGAAGTCACTGCCTCCTGAGCGGCCTTCAGTCCAGGAAAAACAGGAAGGCTGAGGATGAAACCTCAGTGCTGTGCCCAGCTAGGCTTGTTAGTAGATAGCCAACTGAGACCATGACCTGGTGTTTAGCATTGTGTAAGTTCAAATTAGTATTTCTGCCCAAGAGTCTTATGTGGAAATTCAGTACTCTGAGCTCTAACCAGAGGATTTTTCCTTCATCCACATAGTCTGGGGCTGAGAGTTGTCTTTGAAGAACTCTTTGTATGTGTGTCTAAGCTTCAGATTCAAACTGGAGCCTATGGGGGGGGGGGACTGCCTTGTGGATGTGAAAGGGGTTTGGATCTGAAAGGTTACCTAAAAAGAACAATACGAGAGCCTGCATTTCATACTCTGGTAGCTTCTTGACTTGAACGTCTGAAATCCCTTTTCCGGAGATTATAAGAAACACAGGCTATTTTGAGTCATTGTTTTTCTTTTGTATGTATGTGTTTGTGTGTAACGTGGGACCACAATGTTATACACCTACTTATTGTAGTTCATTCAGTGAAGTTGAAATGATGAGGTTTAGCTACTGAATTGAAGTCTTCTTGTCCACAGGGACCTTTTCAGTTCTGGGAAAGTGTCTGTGTCGGAGAAGAGAGTTTATAGTATATGCTTCTGTTTTAAATACATTTGAGTGTTCGTTCTAAGTGTTTTTGCTTACTGAATCTGAAGTTTGACAGACATGATTCTGCCCATCATTGGGACAGGACTTGTATTGCTTTCTGTGCCCAACATAGTGAAAATCAGATTAAGGGCCCATAAATCTGGATATACTGCAAGCACTATAATTCATTTAGCTTTCCTTAAATGTCCCTCAATGGCTGGCAATAATAAATCAGTAGTCTTATTTTTCAAAGTTTAATTGGAATGAGTGTGAACTGATTTAAGGTCTTTGATAGATTAAAGCTTAACCATGAAACACTTGAGCCAACCTACCAAAAAAAAAAGTCTCAATGTAGGCATTATTAGCTCATTTGATCCTGACAGTATTAGAATACTCTTCCTAAAATAAGAGTGAAACATGCTTACCTAGTTCTTAGACTTGATACTGTTGGGTAAGTTTATGGTGTGTTCAAATTGCTTGCCTTAATGTAACTAGAAGGAAGAATTAGTAAATTAAGCCCCAAATTGTGTACTTTTAGCTCTGTGCAATAGTTAATAGAAGCTGGCCAAGATTTCTTCTCTTGTTCCCATAAAAAGGTCTCCTGGTTATGTGATGATAACAACCGTCAATTATTTTTCAGTTGTCCAGTTTGGCTGTAAGCCAGTACACTGTAGAATAGCTAATTTCCTCACTGTAATTTTGGAACTTCTAAGTGCTTTTGTAACTTCTTTTAAAATGGGATTTATGGAAGTGGGGGACTAATGGTATTTGCCTGCTAGAGCTGAGTACAGGCAGGACCCATGCTGTGCAAGTGTCACTTAACTTTACCGCTAATCTTAGAGCTATAGCACCACCTGCTATTCTTGCTGTAGGTTTCGCAAGTGAAAATAGAATTATCTGTTACAGTGTAGTGGTTTGTAAATTATCTGTGGCAGTCTAGTTTTAAATCATTAAACTTGTGCTGTCTGTGACTCAAATGAAATATAAACTGAAACCTTCAGAGTGGAGAGATTAGGATATAAATACAATGTCATCTCATTCCAAGGAAGAAGCCATGTTAGAAATAGGTATGGACCCATCAGTCCTTTCTTCTCCTGTCTTCAGGGACAGAAGCTTTTTTTTTTTTAATGTTGAAAACATACATTTAAAATGGTGGATTATCTAATGCAGAGCACGTAGATAGTTGGAATGCTGATCAATAGTGGAGGTTTAAGTGGTGAGTGGTTTTGTTTAAGCAAAACTTTCTTCCACTTAAAGGATCAAGCTTAGACACTTGAGTAGCTCGCCAAATGTTCTTGGGAATATGTCATACTAAGAGTAATATGTCTTGCAATACTAGTAACTTTGGATTTTGGCAATTTGATATTCCCTTGTAAATTCAAAATGACAAAAATTTCTCTGGCCTTTAGAGAATGTGTTGTGCTTGATAAGCTTTCAGTAGACTTGCCAACTTGGTAACGGCTTCTGGTCACAGACCACAGTGCTTCTTGTCTGTAGATTTCTACTGAGTTGAGGAGAGTCTGGTGGACTTCCAGTTCTCAATTATACTTGTGTATCTTAGTGAATCTTAGACTTGTATTGGAGCTGAGTTTTGTCTGTTTAGGTCCAGACTTGGAGCTCTCACCTAGAGAAGTGTGTGTGTTTAAGTCTTCCAAGGCTGGATATAGGCTCTGTAGCTGTTTGGATGGGACATGAATGCTGAATGAAGGTAGAAATGAGAGCAGGCAAATAGATGATGCTCTTGATTAGAGGGGGGAAAAATTGTCAAGTTTGTGGCTTATACTTGCTAGAGACAAGTAAAGCCAGGTTGCTGACTAACTGAAAAATAATTGAAAAACCTGAAAAATACTGCGTGCGACACAAAGAAGGGAAAGGGGATGTTGCCTGGTGAGGGTGGAAGTAGCCTTCTGATCCTTTCAGGCATAACCCTCAAACTGGCTAGAGTTTGTGGAGTAATCCAAGGTAAGTATCACACCTTTGAAAGAAATGCCATGCAGCACTTGGTTGGTGCCAGGAGCAAATCTCTCCATAGTCATAATAGGTGGGTTTTTTGCCAATCCAAAAATTTTATCAGTCAGTTTAAATTGGCAAATGGCATATTAACTGCTAGCAAGAGAAATACTCTTAATACCTTTAAGCAAAACATTTTGTATTTTGTTGAAGGGTGAAATGATCACTGTCTTTCATGTTGTTTTTTTTTACCTATGTTCAGCATTTGTAAACCAGTTATAAATATCTTGCATTAAAGATGCTAGAGGAGCCTAACGGTATTACTGTGAATGATGTGGTCTTCTCTGTGATTGACATCAAAGTACCTCATGCTCTTGTTTTGTACAGTTTCACAATAACAGCTGTCTAGAGTGTAGTTTGTGTTCACACTTATGTTAATCTATGCGTATGAACTTCCTGCATAGTGACTTTTGAGTCATGTAGCATGCCAGTTAAGATAGTTCAGGTTTCTCTCCAAAAAGATTGTAATTTATCTTGTTGGTATGCAGTGCAAATTGATTTAGACTTCTCCCATTCTCTTATCCACAGCAATTGGAGCAGATCCAGAAGGAGCTAAGTGTTCTGGAAGAAGATATTAAACGAGTAGAGGTGAGGTGCCCAGACATTGTTCTGACTCTGGCAATTTTTCATTTTCATCAAGCTGTCTGCCTTGCTGTGGGGCTGCTGTGTTAAATTTATGGCATTTGAGTCAGTAATGGGAAAATGAACAGATGATGCTCTTTCTTTAATTTGTTCATTTAGCTGAATTGTGCAAGCTGCAGGTTGGTAAGAGGGGACTTTGCTGAAACCTAGCTCTTGTATCACTGTACCTTGCAATTTCTTTGTGTTGGTAGTAAGTATTTTAAAATAATTGCTAGAAATCAACAGCCAGTATATTGATCGTAACTTATGATTTTTCTATGTTGCAGTGTTCTAGCTATTTGCACAGGCTGTTTAAATCTTAGCAGCATGCCACTCTTAAAAGGGAGAAGTATTGGGGGGGCGGGTGGGGGGTGCATGAGAGCTGTAATGCAGAGACTGGGTAGGAACAGAACCAGCTCCTGCTGCATGTCAAAACAGAAACAGTCTGCTACCTCCTGATATAATTCTTTTAATTCCTTAATGATGGCAGTCTCTTGGGATTCTTGCTAAGAATTATTCTCCAAGTATTTGTAAACCCATCAGCTCAATCCTTCTGTCCTTACTGAGTCCTTCAGTTCCAACTTGGTCTTTTCCTCTAATCATTCTAGGGTTTTGATCTTGAAGTAGGGAACTGATGTTTCAGAAATGTATCAGACTGCCACCTCTCAAAATAGCATTCCCTTAAAGCTTCTTGAGAATCAGTTTGCAGGTCTGCTTCTCTCTGCTCAGCTTGAGCAGTCAGCACAAGCTCCCAACCACTGCCCAGAAGTCTTTTAGATTTCTTCACTTCCAATGTATATTTTGATAATTCATCAGCATGCATATAAATAGAACTGACAACTGCAGAAACTTCCCTTCAGCTGATAACTACACAAATTGTGACTTGGTAGATAACAGCATTTTTCAGACCTATTTCCCTAAATGTTTCTCAGCTCTTGGGAAATAAATATACCTTAGTGTGTTTCCCTGAGACTGGTAAAATAGGTCTTCAGATCTGGAAGAAGCTATTCCCAAAGCTGCGGGATCCCTCAGAGTATCTAGCTACCTGCTTTTCTGCTCTTTAATCAGGCACTTCAGTGGACTGCAGCTGGGGTACGTAACTGGTGTGCGATAGTGACCTTGGTTCTGACCTCTAAAGCCTGGGATCTCTGTCACAAATATCATACTTTCTACCTAACAACTAATGGGCACCTAGTGGGAATTTGAAAAGCACCAGTAATGTCCTGGAACACTTTACCCCCCTAACTAATGAGCTGCAGCATCCTGCATAGCTTCCCTTTTTCAAACAGATGAAAAGTACAGTGTCATACTGGGTACACAGCAGTGATTAGTCTGGCAGGGACAAAGCCAAGTTTATGTGCAAAGTTCATCTTCCGTGCACTTGCCCCACAGAAGACTGATAGATCCTCTTAAGTCTGGGGCACAATGCCACCTTTGCCCTGTTGTCTTGTGGTTGTTCTTGCCATGACCCATATCCAGCATTACTTTCCAGCTGTGAAGGCTGTTAGATAAGTTTGCATGTATCTCAGGAATGCAGTTACAACTTGCTTGTTCTGCCATGTTTAGGAGAGGTGCTGGGTTAGAGGCAATTGGGTGGTAACCAAATCCATCGATTTTTGTTGTATAAACTCCAGAACTGCCTCTTTGGGGGCAAAAAGCCCTGCAGTTGCAGGATTTCTGAAACACAGCTGGAAGGATAACTGGAAAAAAAAAAAAAAATCAAAGAAAATCAATGTTTCTTCAGGTAGTATAGTAAAGGCTTCTAGGTGAAAGTTGAATAAACATAGATACAGTTGGTTATCTGCTTTGAAAAACAAAAGATTACCATTGTACATTGGATGGTGCCTACTGTTCATGCTTTTGTCAGCTTTGCTGTAACGTGGCTTTCTGTTCCAGGAAATGAGCGGCTTGTACTCCCCAGTCAGTGAGGACAGTACGGTGCCGCAGTTTGAGGCTCCCTCACCTTCACACAGGTATGGAGCTTGCAACTCAGAACTTGGATTTCAGGCTGTACATATTGCACTGGACTTGCTAGTCCTCTCCACGCCATGCCCAACATACAAGGAAAACCAGTTTGAGTGCTCTACGATGTTTTCCTGTTCCGTTTTTGATTGGTATAAACTTCATGTGAACAAAGCGGTGAAGAAGAGTCTGCAGCTGGATGAAAAGTCTACTCTAAACCAGATGCCGTGGAAAGCTGGTGGTTTTAAATGTAGTGTGGATTAGTTAACTCAAGTCCTAAGCCTTTGCTCTGGTGTGAAATATTACTGTTAAATACATGCTACCTCTTAGGAACATTATGCAGTTCTGCTTGGCATATAAAAGGTCTTAATTTTGTGTGATGTTGGTGTCTTCTGGCTTCCCTATTCAGCATGAGTGGCTAAAGGTATGGGCTCACAGGATCAAAATTTAAAATATACAGCCCATTGATTCTGTTTATCTGCTGTCTATTCTGATTTAACAAAACGCCTTTCTAATAACATATTTTCAATGTGGATTTTTGTCTGCAATACTGCAGTCTGGTTTCTTGATGAATAAAATTGCAGGTGCTTCTTGTGGCCAAGTTGCATGTGCCAGGGTTTGAAGTGCTCTGCTTTATAGATTTGTGTTTTGGTTGTAAGAAAGCTCTGATTTCACAAGGCCGGGTTATGTTATTAAAGGATTGTCTCTCCTGCCTCTTAATAGTAGAGTTCTTTAAACTGTTGACTTCTGTTATAAAATTATACTGCTACCTTTTCTGCAATTAGCAGCTCCAAACCTAGTAGGCCAGAAGTAAGAAACAAAAAAGTTACCAGATTTCTTCCCCTACAGAGATTTAGATACAATGCTCTGATAATGGAACCTATCAATATTGGCTGGGATTTCTTACCAAGATGCTATTTCTGGGTATCACGACCAGAATCTCTCATACTTCTATGAAGCTCTGGCTGGTCCTGAGGGAAAAGACAGGAATATGGCCAGGATGGATGGGAACAGTGTTTGTTATTCCACTTTTCACTTCTTGTTTAGTTTTTTGGGTGCAGGTGCATTTTTTGAAGTGGGTTATTGTTGTTTTGCCAAGAAGCAGTTCTGTGAAGCTGATTAGATTCTTGTCAGGTTCTACTGGTTTTCTGGTTATTGGCTATTAAATAGATTGCTTGTTGCTTGCTTCGTAATACTGCTGCTTGGGGAGAACTTAAGCCCTGCTTGGGCTGCATCTGTTACATGTTGAACACCTTCAGGCCTAGAAACCTTTTTTTTACAGAGGATTGTACTTATAAGTAGAAATGAATCTCTTACTCAAGCCAAGCTAGCAAACAAGCTCCCAAAGAACTTTCTTCTGTTGAAAGCTGGACTAACATTTTAAGCCCAAGTGTTTTGGTGAAAGAGTTGGGGGGGAGGGAGGGAAATCTGCTCTGAGACTTACATTGGTTTTAATCTACTGAAAATTTTATTCCTTTCTGCCTGTTTATTTCCCATCTTATAGTCAATCATTCTCAGTTCTTGCTTTTGAACATATAAAATAGTGTCAAAAATATTTTAGTGACTTTGAATTGCCGTGCTTCACCGGGGGTCTGCTGGGAGATGGTGGTGGGTTAGACCATGGTAGGTGCAGAGACCATGGGCTCTTTTTCTTGCCCATCTTATGCTTGTCTGGTTCCATCTTGGCTGTGTCTTGAGCTTTTGTGGTTTTCCTCTGGTACAACATGACAGGTGTGATATAATAGGATGTTTAGGGGTTTCCTAGGGTATGTGGGGTTGCCTTTTTCTCTCATGTTGAAGCTTCCTTTTCTGTTTCTCAATTACATTCCTGCATTAAGAGGTAGTGTTGAGTGGCCAAGAGGAAATAGTGCTTGAAGAAAGTGTCTGACCAGGTGTTGGTTGTTGCCAGGCTCTTGTAACTTCTGTCCCCACCCTATCCTGACAGTTCAGTGTAATTAAAGTAATTGAATTGGTTTGAATTACCAGAACTCAGATTCCAGAAATGTCTACCACTTGAAATTCATTTTCTTTTCAATAATGTTAAATGTAAGTTTTGGGAAGTATCTCAAAAACTGTAACTTTGATTCTTCCTTGGAAAGAACTACAGAACAACTGATAGGAGCTTTAAAATATGCTGATTTTTTTTTTCCAGCTCTGTTAACTGAAATACTTAATCTCCAAAGTGCATTTTAGAGATGCTGTGAACCACTAAGAATGAAATACAAATATAGTTTGAGATGGTTTCACTTCCATGCTAAAATGTTATTAAACTTGCAGAGACTTTTTAACTTATCAGTGAATTTAAAATGGTATATTTAAATTGGAAAATAACTTGTTAACATGCTTAACACCCTGCTAATGAAATATAATAGTATAAAATTTTACTAATGTGTCTTAGAAATAGTACAAGGTTATCAGAGACCCGTGCTGAGATGAAGAAAATCTCTTTAGCCTTTGAATTTAAAGTTCAAGAAGATAGAGTTCTTTGGAATTTGGTTTTATCTGGTCTCTGGTGACTCGCCCTTATTCATCTGCTTCTTCTAAATCACAGGCTTGCTTCATTAATTCTCTGTTTCTTTGAATTGTTTGTATTTCCCCCCCACACACACACACACTCTTAACATCTTCAACATGTGAAATTACTGTGTCTCCCCCCCTCTTTCTTCATAAGTTCTTTAGCAAAAAACCAAGTGTGGCTATCGTGTTCAATACATCCTCAGCTTCAGGAAACACGTGTTTTCTCTTATGCTTGTACAGGGTATGATGAAACATTAAATTGGGTAATAGCACAGTTCTTGTTTACAGCGTTGCAGATTGCTGGGCTTGTATACTAATAGAGAACAAGAGGGGAGGAATAAGGGAAAAGAACAAATAGTTCTGTGTAGGGTTTTTCTGAACAGGCACGAGTGCTATTTTTGCTACCAGTAAATGGTGCAAACAGGAGGTACAAATAAGCAACTTCTCTGTGACTGCATATTCAGGATTAATAGCAATAACAAAACTATTGCTCTAATAGGAGTTTCTGGGGGAAGATTCTGATCTAAAAATTAGTTGCCTGGTAACTGATTCAGTTATTGAAATCCTGATCTTCTTCCCCTCCATTTGTTCTAATTACCCCCTCCCACCCCCGTAAGGGTATAACAAATGGGATTTATAGTCTGCAGGTTGCTGCATTTTTGTTGTTGTTCCAGGCTTTTAAATATGTTGTGTTAGTGTAGCTGAATTTCCTAACTGAACCTTTTGTTACAGCTTTTTAAAAAGAATTCAGAGGGAACTTTAGTAATTTTCTGATTATTTGCATCCTGTATTAAAAAAGGGAAAACATTCAAGCATATGCCAGTTAACTCAGCTACAGGCACCGCACAGAAATTACTTTGAATCTGTATTCTGGTTAGGGAGATGACGTCTGCACTCTTGAAGGCTTTACATCACCAGACAACCTGCAGCAAAACGAGACCAGACGCTCTAAGTCTGTGTGTTTTGTTGTTAATTGCCACTGTACCTGTCTCAGAGTACTTTCTCATCTTTTTCCAGCCGAGCGTCTTATGCTGTTCCTGGCAGGATCTGCTGTACGTGTTTCATTATTTCATGTGGCCACATTCTAATTTAAAGTTCATTGTCCCCGACCATGCCTGGTACAGCGCTGCTGTTTTCTGCCTTGCAATAGCCTGCAGCAAATAATGATTTTTATCCCTCAGATTTTCTTGTTTTGCAGCTTTTGTCTTGCCTGTTAACAGAAGCCAAATCAATCTCATCTTACAAGTTAACCACTAATGAGACTTTAAAATCATCTCTCATCTTCTGTTTCTACTTCTTTCTACCTCCAGGGGAGCTTTAAAACACTCAGAGAAATATTGTAAGTGCTAGCACCGCTGTTTTCATCCTGCTAGACTTACAGGTGTGTGTCATGGCCAGGACAAGGTGCCTTGACTGACATTTTGGCCAAACCACTTGTTTTATGACCAAGAATGTCAAGTCTCTGATCAGTTCTGGCAGCTGTTATATAAACGTCGATAGGTACAATCATCTTCCACAAAGCCAGGACCTATAGTGCAGTGTTCTGGCAGCTTTTTAGAGGAACTTTCAGCTTTGCCAAGCAATGCTTAAATCTAAGGTTACCTCGGAAGTAGGACTGAGAATAACAAACCCAGGTAGTTTCTTTTCTGTCCAAGCCAAACGACATAGAAGTGAGTTATAAAGATTTTTAGAAACAAATTGTGGTGATGTTTGTGTTCTTCATAACTAATAAAATGGTGTTCTTGTGTACTAATCTTTACTTGTCCTAAAAGTATTTTAAATTTGAGTGGTAATGGTGCTTTAATCTGGCTCTGGTGTGTCTTATTGTGAGAGCTAAATATTTTGCCCATATGTGCAAGAATACCGTTTTATGCTTATATCAGTAGATCCTTTTGCAGTTTTGAAAGTTAAGTCTCTTGAGTTTGCATATATATGCTATGTTTTGAAAACAGTGATTTAAGGTATCTTGTGTCATAGATACTTTGTAGTGATGTATGGTGTAGCATTCTCTAATAATAGTAATCCTGGCTGTCATTATTTTTTTATTGTTTATTTCTGTATTTCATTACTTGTGTCTGTTTTGTGTGTCTTCAGAGATGTTTGGAATTCTGGAATACTGGTGTCTGTCTTAAGCCGATTTCTCTAGCTTTTCTCTTCACAGTGATGTTTCAAATGCCATGGCATTAAACTCCCCTTTTTTTTTTTTTTGAAGGAACTGAAAACGAATGATAGCATGTTATTTTCAGAATGTCTTATCCTGCATATTTCATACAAGAGATATGATTTTACATTCTAATCAGAAATTATTAGATTGTACTACACATAATTGTGTGTGACAGCATTCTGCTCTATGAGATCCTTGTATTAAAAAAAAAAAAAAAATCCATCCCAAACCCCCAAACAAAAAATAACCTTGTGTTTGCTGTCAGTAAAATGAATTTCAAAGGCAAGGATGTTGCAGGATGTAAAGGGGGGGATAGCAAACAGATGAAAAATTATAAAGGATGGTTGCACGGTGATTTAAGCAGACTGTTTCTTTTGGTTTTGCAGTAGTATTATTGACTCCACGGAGTATAGCCAGCCTCCAGGCTTCAGTGGCAGTTCTCAGGTAAGGTAATACATGTGTCTGTGCACAGGGGGGATGGGAGAGTGAATGTGGAGGTTGGGCAGGGATTAGGCACAACTCTGCCCATCTCCAGGATACCGGTCAGCTCAGGTCTCGCAAATGCTTTAAACTGGTTATCTGGAGAAACTGGAGCCAACACTACAGCTGGAGGAATGACTGTGAATGTCCATGCTGACGCCATCAGAGAAATCTGGTGTAATATATTTAGATATCTGACTTTATTCCCAAAGCTGACTCTTTCAGGGAAGAGGGGATATTTTTTCCTCTTCATCTCTTCTCCCAAGTAGGCAGCATTTGGGAAAGAAGGTGAATCCCTGCCCTTTGCATTGTCTTAAATAACTTTGGATCAAGCTTGACTTCCAAAACAAGAAAGATTCGTTCTCCAAACATACAGCCATTTTCTAGTTTGTCCTTGTTTAGGTCCTTACAAAACTATATTATAAATTCACATAGAGGGTGAAAAGTTTCATATACAGTGATGCCATTTGGCAGGCAGTCTCCAAACCGCGTGATCCGCAGGGCCTCCCGAGTGCCAAACAGCACTGCCATAGTCCTGCAGCTCGGAGTGGTTCAGCTGGGCTGGGAAGAGGACACTGATATCCAGCTCACAGTTTCAAAAATGTCAAGCAGTTTTGATTTAGACCGAGGGACTTCTGGTTACATGCCAGCTTATGCCTTTGGTGCTCTCTGGTGGTGGTACGGGCTGTCTGTGGCACATGGCAGTATCAAATTGGGAAATTAACAGGTAAAAGTGCTGTTGGATCCTGTTTGATGGAGTAGCTGATGTAAAAAAATGTGAATTTTGAGCTGATGCACATATATGTGTGCATGCAGGGTTTTGGATTTGCAGCTGTACAACTAATTGGTAATTAGAAAATTCCATCTATTAGTCTGTGGGAAAAACCTTGTTCCTGCTGTTGTGGTCCTGGGAAGTTTTTGCTTGAACAACAGACTGTAGCTCTACCTCCCTTCAAAGGGCAAGTGAAATGTGGGTGCAGATTTTATGTTCAGGACTCTGATATGGTACAGTGTGTTTGTTCTCTACTGGCACTACTTGTCTCAGTACTTTCCTTCCTTTTCAAAGACAAAATTACTAGCATAGTTATACTGCTAGTAAGTGCACTAAACAACCTAGAGTTTTTAGTCATTCTGTGTGACAGCCATGTGTGAAAAGAATCTTTTTTGTCCTCAAATGTAATTTTTTGTCTGCAAGAGTACAAGATCTGTACTTTAGTACAAATTTTCAAATTAAACTTTAATATATGCTTGTATGGAAAGTCGAAAGAGAACTCTTGAAGTTAAACACTTCACTCCAAGGTGGTCTAATTTCAGCAAGACTTTACTGTAAAAATGGTTTCAAGAAAATAAACTCAATTGTCCTTTTTTTCTAATTGTCAGTCATGGCAAAAATCATATATTGGCCACTGCTGGTGGTAAGAAGCTATGCTAGGATGGAGATCATAGCCTGCTTTCACAATATAATTACTTTGTGCATTGCTCACGAACATGTTAGGGAAGACTTTATATACCACAAAGCTACAGGACAGTTTTCTTCCTGATGCTGAGCTTCAGAATTAAATAGTGGACAAGTCACATAGGCCCTGGGGAATTCTGCAGGTAGGATTTAGTGGCAGTACTTCTCTTTTCTGCTAGAAATAAGGAGCTTGTATGTAACTGTGAAGCTTTTCCAGTTATTAGCAGACTCTTTAGAGCACTTGTTGCAATTCAGACAGTAAAATCACTATTGATAACAGAGCAATCTGAACTCATGTCCTCAACTAGGACAACCATAGTAGTTTTAGTAGTTGAATAAAAATCACTTGGGTATGTTTTCTCTCTTTTCCCATTTTTTTTTTTACCCCTCCTGTTTCCCAGCACTGCTTAACAAGTAGCCAAGGAGCAGGCTTCATAGAAACTGAATAAATGTTTTGATAAAACATAAGCAGTTTTAAATGCTTCGCTGGGGAGGACCTGATGAAGACAGGTTAATGCAGACTGATTCCTAGCACAGCTGGGTCACCATGTGCCAGTCTGAGACCTGCTCTGGGGGGGATCTTCCTCTGGAGACCCAGAAGGTAATTGCACAGCAGGCAAATACTTACCATGATTATGATTCCATCTTGATGTGGACTGGGCTCATCTGGCAGATCAAACACAGGCTTGGGTTTTATCGCTCATTGTGTTGCAGGTGTCTTGTCTTGAGACTGAAGTGATTTCTCTGTGAGACTTGAAGTCACCTTGAGCCCTAATCACTCACCATGTGCTGAGAGAGGCTGAAGCCCTTCCAGGCTGGTGCACAACATTAATAGGAAGATGCTTTAAAGGTGTTCTGTTAAGCATTTCTTAAAGCTGTAAAATTTTAGAAAATTGTAGTTAAAAGGTGTTGCTGTAGAAGTACTTTCCAGTGTTCCAGTTCTGTGTTGAGTTTGGAGTTGCTTTCAAGATGAAACAAGCTGCGTAGCCCAGAGGTGCTGTCAACGTGCAAGTGTGAGTCCTGACGTCGGTGTATAGCCAGGGCCCTCGCGTGGGAAGCGGCGTCTGCAGGTTTCCTTGCTTGGGGTTTGCTTTTTTCCCTAAAATGTTAGACTACTGTTCATACAGGTATAAGCAGAATTTGAGTGGGCTGTAAACTTAGTTTGTTCTTGTTGGCTTGCTTGATGGCTGTAATGAGGGCAGCCCGTTCTCCTGTGTGGATTGAGGGGGAGTTGTACGCAGAGTGGGTTTTGTTAGTGGCATTATGGGCCTTGTACATGGTCAGGGATGTTGTTTATTAGGGAGCTTGCTGGTTCTCAAATCTTTCAAAATTTCCCCATTAGCTTTGAGTATGTGATACGTGAGTTCTTCAATACACACTATAGCAAGGTGCTCTTCAAGCTTCTTGTGTAGTAGAGGAATTTGTTTCTTTTTCTTACTAGTGATTAAAACAAGAAATACTGTATTTTCTGTTTTGCATCAGGAGAAGAGATTACTTAGTACTTTCAATCTTTCGCTTCTACTTCTCACTATTACTGGTTGGGTACGTTGGGAAGGAGCTTTAATGATGAGTTTCATGGACTTCTTTTCAATTAACCTTTAAACTTCATGGTGTCTTCTGTTTCTATCCTTATTGTGTCAACTTTACGGAGAGTTACTGAGTTGCTTCAAAAGAAATAATTCAGTAACTAACTCTTTAAAATAAACACCTCCTTCTCTTTTTAACAAGCTGTCTGCCAGGGATCTAGGAAGTATTCGTTGTACAGTCTGTTTGATTTGTGAAGCTGGAAGCCTGGTATCTTTGGCCTCTACCACCTATCTGTATAAATGCAAGACGTGACTCCCCAAGGGTTGGTGCCGTCTGTCCTGCTTGTGAGGCCAGTATCAATAAATTTGCAAAGGTTCAGGAAACAAGAACTTTCTAAAAGCAGCTTTTCTTGTTTGTCAAGTTAAAGGGTGCAACGTAGGACCCTAAGAATAACTGTTGACAGTGTCAAGATCTTAATTTATTGTCATTTTACACTTCTAACCCTTCACATATAACGTATAAATTGTTTATAATGTGGTAAAATCTACTGAAATGAAACCCAGGCCTGGCTTTACCCTTCTGAAGTGTTCTTTCTTTTCCACTCAGACCAAAAAGCAGCCGTGGTATAACAGCACACTAGCCTCGCGACGCAAGCGGCTCACAGCTCATTTTGAGGACCTGGAGCAGTGCTATTTTTCCACCAGGATGACACGTGTCTCAGGTGAGCTCCTTTTGTGTGATGTTCAGCTTCTGACATCAGTTACATCGTACAATGCCCAGTCCTCAGAAAAGACTTGCCTTTGAGAGAGCAGCATTCACTTCTTCCTTGCATGGGAATGTTGCCATACATGTTTGTGTTACTCAGATCATCCCACTTTGATTTTCTTGACCAATCTCTGAGGTTGCTAAATTTGGACAATCTAATCCTGTCGCTTTGGGGGCACATATGTATTGCTTTGTAATCCTGTACTGTGAAGGGCATAACCCACAATAAACAATTTCACTGATGCTTGTTCAGAAGATGCAAATGTTTGAAAGCAGTGGTTGGGTTGTCTTTCTACTAGATGTGGTGTAAAGACAGTAGTAGAATACATTGCTATTGAGATACTACAAAGGTATAAACATAAATTGATAAATTCTCCTGTATTTTAGCGTGCAATAGGACACTTGGAGGTTATCCTTTATGTTGTGTAGATTGAGTCTTGGTTATCAAATGACTTGGAGCATAGAAGCTGTGTGCAGCAGTGTTGTTGTCCCATGGGGCACACCTTAGATTTAAGGATTGTTTTGTAGCATTAGAAGCTGTTTTCACAATTGCCAAGATTGCCTCATTCATAATTGAGTAACAGTGTGACAGCGGCTAGAGTAATTGTTACCTAGTGGATGGATGGTTCTTAATTACGTGAGGAGATTCTCTTAAGAAACAAATGGGTCAAATATGTCTTGAGGGTGAGGAGGGTTGCTTGCAGTCCCTCTGGGGAAGAAACCAGCTTTGGGGAAAAAAGTTTCAGGCGATGGGCTGTGGCAGGCAAGAGATTTGCAGCACCGAACTGTGAGCTGCAGCTCATAGGAAGTGTGACAGACTGCAGCAAGGAGCAGGGAGCAGCCAGCCCTCAGGGGATGGGAGAGACCTTTTAGGGACAAGAGGGAACCAGGTAGAAGTTGCTGTGGCAAAATATCTTTACTTGTAGTCTTGGAAGGCAAGGACCAACCTCCCAGGTTCCCACAGAGATCAGCAAGAGAGCTGGAGTAGAAACCCCCGTGTTGTTTTTCTCTATCAATTCAGGGGTTTTTATTCACTTTAAATCAATAAAAATGAGGCTTGACTATTTTTTTTAATTTAAAAACAATAAACTGGCTTTAAGTTTAAAGGCTGCAACATGTTTTAAAGGAGCTCACTCTTCGATATGTCTACAGCTGCCAACTTCAGAGCAGTGACCGACTCTGTTCTCATCATGCACAGCAAAATAATTTTAACAAGGAATGCAGCACGTTGAGAGGGTGCTTCAGTAGCTGTAAGATCGGAGAAGCCGGTTGTATGTGACCAAGTCAGTTTGCTGTGAAGCACGAGCAAGTGCTTGGCAGAATACAGTATACTCTTCACAGACCACACCGAGATGTTTTCATGCGGTGCTATCTTGGTGATGCATAACTGTGTTTATGTTAAAATAATACTTATTAGCCAAGGATAACAAATAGGGCTCTTCCCAGCATCCCCTTCTAGAATACATTTTTCTTTATAATTGGAACTATAAATATGAATGTGGTGAAACTGTTTTTGTATTCGTACGTGTCAGCCACACCAGGAGCGGAGGATGTGCAGGTTTTTTCCTAAATGAAGGATAACCTGTTGTACTTGATTAAGTTTTCTTCTCTTAAGTCATTCTTGCTTTTTGACACATTTTAGATAGGGTTTAATGTGGATTTAAAGCTTTTTTCAAGAAGTGCCTATGACTGTTCTAGTAGGCAGTAGAGACATAATATAACTGTAATTATGAAATGGCCTTGCACTTTGACAGGGAAAATGTCTTGAGAAATAACATTCAGTTTTCCAGGCACAGATACAGAATAAATTACAGCAGGACTGTGTGCTTGATCTCTAAATGAGGGAAACAGAAGAGTAGCAGCTATTTGTTCCTATCATGGTGTAGGAGGAGGAAATAGTCTTTGACAAACACGTCTGATGTTTATGTGCTGCTTCTTGAGCTGTTTCCTGTAGTGGTCAGGTGCTGATGACTTTAATTTGGAGCAGTGCTTTGTTCATTTTGCCCCTTTTGATCCATCTGACATGGGTAATGTGTATGCTAGTACCCTTAAACATGCTAATTACTAGCCTTCACTGTTCCTTTATATGATCAAACAGTAAATAGCATAAGGGACACTTCAAAATGCCTTACAAGTGTAGAGCAAGATAATAATTTCTGATGGCAAGGAATTACCAGGGTGCAGAAAGTGATTATTCTCTCTGTGTTTTCCCACAAGAAATCACAGCTGTATTTTACTTTTATAGATCAATCTCTTCCTTCTTTTCACCCCCTTATTTCTAAAGCTTTCTAATAAGTGGAGCTTTGTCGTTTCCTTATGCTGCTGATAAAAACAAACAGATAAGGATAATTTAACTAGTGAGTGGAATTTGATCTCAGCCATGTGAGTCAGTCATGTGTATGGTTTCTCTGCTGCAGCAGTGGATGCTGTGGTTTAACAGGAGACAAGGTGTGCAGTACCTGTGAACCGAGGTGCTCTGTGTTACCGCAGCAATAGCTGTAGTTCCCTTACATTGCGTTGGCGCAAAAAGACAAAGCAAAGGTGGGAGCATCAGAGGAGGAAAGGGAGAATTGCTGCAAATTCAGGGGATTATTACAAAGCTTGAAGGCTCTACCTAACGTTTGCCTGTGAATGCGTGGTTGTATTAGGAGCCCTCGCTTGCCCACGTGGCATCACCATAAGTTGGGAATTTTTCCTTAATTAGGAAATACTAAATTTTAAAATGTTTGAAATAAAATTCTGATCCTACCAAGGAAAGTTGAGACTTCTGGGGAATCGGGGAATGACTTTCAACTACCTACATTGCAGTTTAGTTTTAACTTCTGTAGTAAACTGTTCCATTTCCCAGAGAATATTTATCATTATTCAAGCTGGCTCAATCTCACCTTGTCTGCTGAAGGTCATAATTTTCACCAAACAGGGAGTCCTCTGGTTTCATGCTTGTCTTCTCCAGCCATGAAACAATTCTCCCTTAGCTCTGTTGCTTTTGGAGTAACAAGACAAATATTTTTTACTGAAAGTATTTTGAATGTAATTGATACCAAACGTAGGCATATTGTAACAGAAGTATGGGGAAAGGAATATACTTTCACCTCCTTAGAAAACTAGGCGTATTCTTCACAGTGCATTTTGATATGCTTAAAGGTTTTCTGTTAATAATCTATATGACCCATGGGCTCTGAGTTTGAATAAAATAAATGAGTTTACCAGGAAAGCTGTACTTATGATCTCTAGGTGGATTCTCAGCACAGTGGGTTCACCTAGTGCTGCAGTGGAAAGACTTAATTTGTGCTCTGAAAAATTATACTGCCTTCAGGGAATGGTAGAGGTGAGAGAAAATCTGGGTTTGACCAAGAGTCCTCCCCACATAACAAGCAGAGGTAGTGTCACGTGAAGATACACATCTTGATTTTCTTTGTTTGCTGTTGAGTTTGTTTATCACCTTACTCTGTTTCTGTCCTCCCCAATGCTGGTGCCTCTCCCTAGATGACAGCAGAACCACGAGCCAGCTGGATGAGTTTCAGGAGTGTCTATCCAAGTTCACGCGCTACAATTCTGTCCGACCCCTGGCAACGCTGTCCTACGCTAGTGACCTCTACAATGGCTCCAGCATAGTATCCAGGTAAGACACACTGCAGCTCTGACAGTGCATCTCGTGCTGATGCAGCCTGCTGAGGCTGAGTTAATAACCCGTAGTAAACAAGTTATGGTCTGTACATACTTAACACTTTGCAGTCGCTTCCGCAAAATCGTTCTGCGAATGTGTGATGATCACTGAGCTGCGAAGGCATTCAGGTACCACAGTAGTACCTTTTATTCCCGTTGGTGTTGGCTGAGACCGAATGCAGAACCTTTGAGGTGCCAGTGAGTGTCTGCAGCTGTAGTGATAAAGCATAAAGCCTGTCGTAGGCTCGGTCCTCTTCATGCTAGTATAGTTGCGTTGTCAGTGATGCAGTTCTGGCATTTTAAGAAACATCCCTCTGGCATGGTGTTATATAGTTTTAAGAATCTGCGGTGGCTTTAAATATTTTTGGTAGATCCAGTTGTTAGGCAAATATTAAGAAGCCTGGTTGTTTTTAACTGCGAGTGCTTGAGCTCTTGAGAGTTGGAAGCTCTGGTTACAGTGCTAAACCCTGGTGAGGGGGTGGCTGTGGTAAAGCTAACTCAGCAGCTCCATTCTTGCCAACAATTCTGTATCCCCTGCTGTGTGGGGTGGTCATGCTTTGGGCACTGCTGCTGAAGCCCATCTGAGCCCCCTGTGGATCAGTTTGGACACTTAACTAGCGAAATGCTACTGGCTGTCTTTCAACAGAATTAGTTTCTTCTAGTTAAGCTTCATGAACCAGGTCTCTCAGGATCAGGCTTTAAGAGAGCACATGGGATAGGGAGAGGCTGGGACCTCCCAAAAAGGCCTAACCTTAAACTGGTTTCGGCAGCTGTGGAAACATACCCTGGGGGATTTAATTAGTGTATTAGCTTGTTTAGAGCTGGTTGTGGTGGAAAAAATGATGCAATATGTTAACTGGGAAATCTTTCCTGCATGGCGTGCATGCAGGACCCATTAGCTTCTTCCAGGCATGTTTCACAAATTTAAATGTGTTTGTTCACGGCAACCTTTTGAGGGAGAGTAGTACCACCAAAGTTTTATACGTGAGGGGAGCAGGAGATCCAAAGTGGCCATACCTGAGGTCTTAAAAGAAACATTACAATGACATGATGAATTGAACTTGGGTTTTCTGAGTCCTGATCTAATGCCTTACAAAGGGGCTGTGTGGACAGTGACAGGACAGCTTGAATGTTTATTGAAGGACCCCAAAAAATTTGCACCATGTAAAGAAACGGAAGCATGTGAATATACACAGTTCTTTAAAAGCAGCATTGATTCCTTAACTACTGCAATATGTAGCAGGTATGTATAATGTCCGGCTTAGCCACAGAGGTCAGTACACAGTAATCACTGATCTGACGTGTATTTAACCTGTACTGATTGGGTTCACACTAGCTGCAATGAAATGCAGATGGGAATCTCACTGCAACATAGACATACTTCCTCAGCTTCTGACTTCACCACGGATTGGATTTTGCTCCTTTGCCCTTTCTTTTCCTTGACATTCTGCAAGAGCAGCATTTTTGCGGTATTTGGTTAGAAAATGCTGGAAGGGCAGTAAATCTCGCTCCTGTTTTGAAGGCATTATAATTCTTGGGTGAAATATATGTTTGAAAAATGTGTGTTACTGTTTTTAAAATGAAGGTACTGTGGGGCTTCCCTCCAAGCCAGCACTAGAATCGGTAGTTAAATGCATTTAACTGAAAAATAACTTCGCTTCCAGCTCAATGTTCTTCCCTGCTGATGCTTTTTATTTATCAAAGCATTTAAGAAATTTTTAGGAGTTTTAAAATGTGGGCTGAGTAAGACTGTTCGCATCTGAGCGTGTCCTTAGGTGCTTTGGTAAAGCAGGGCTGCTGAATGTGCTGCTGCTGTAACTCCTGTTAGCCTCTGGCTATCCAAACAGTTCCTTTCAAGTTAGAATTTATTAATCAAGAATTTACATGTTGTGTGTGTTGGCCAACGCACTTCTGTTCACCATTGCTCTTCATCCAAATTAATAGACTCAAGTTCAGAGAGAGTCTGTGAAGCTAAATGAGGTGTGTGTCTTGGTGATGGCAGCTTAAGATAATAGCAGAACAGCTTTTAGGTATCCACGGATGGGCCAAATTATTTACTGGGGCACTTTAAAAGCTTTTAATTTTAATTTAAAAAAAATGCTGTGAAAAGTTTTTTATTTATTTGGTCCACTGCACTTATTTCTAAATGTATTTCTGGGCATGCAGTAGGAAACGCTGATGAAATAACAAAAAGTCTGGCTGCTTAGATAGTGCTATTGAGACAAATGCATTTAAATACAAAGCAAATATAAGGCTAATAAGAAATCCTCACAAATTTTTTAGAAAGTGTTTTAAAGTGATATTTTAAGGACACTTCAGAATAAAAGTTGAATTGACCAGAAGTTAAACTTTCTTGTGCTTAATTTCGTTTGTCTTTTTTTAAAATGAACTGCTGTTACAGATGGACAGAATACAAAAACGTTTGGTTTTCATTGCTTTAACCCTATATGAAGTTCACACGCTGGACTCCAAAAGTTCTGTTGGCTTAAATAAAGAGTTTAAGATGCATTAGCTTTATGTTTGTGAAAGAAGATGATGGACATATGTTCCTTATCTGCAAAACCTTGATGTTTATTTAGAAGGGAAATGGGGTTTAGGGTAACAGGATTAAAACTGTGATTAAAGACTGTATATAAACAGCAGCAACAGTATACTCCTGAGCGCCTTGCCACAAGCATATTTATGAATGTCTGGACTTCTTGAGGACTAATAAAAGACCATAAACAATACTATGTCGTTGTGTTACTATAAAAATTCTGATGAAATATTTAAGAAAGCTGCAGCTGCCTTTCGTGGCGAGGGGCCAAGCCAAGGCTCTGCTCTGCGGTTCTGGTACCCAAGCTGTGCATCTTCCCTCACGGGCTTATTTAGAAAGATGCATGCAGCGTGAGCTTAAGCCCAGGGAGAGAGAGCTTCCTTGCTTAGAAACATGCTTGCAAGCAAAATTTACAACCCTCAGTCCTCTTATTTGCTTCAAGAAAAACAGATCAACAGATAAAGATGCTCAGTGAAAACACATTCAAGGCTTTGCAATTCCTAGTCACTCAGTTTTGTCTTAACACTCGGGAGACTTTCAGCATGCTTGCAACGTGAATGTACATGTACCTCAGTATGCTAAATTTTTTTTTTTATACACAGCTCTCAAGTACAAAGTATTTACCCAGTTTTCACAAGTATATTAAGTTTTGTTAGAACTGGGCCAAGGAATAAATTTTCCATTTATTATGCCCCCAGACAGTGCAGTCGTCAGAGCTTAACTTTTCTTCTCTCTGCTTGCTGTGGCAGTAAATAGTAAAGGCTTTCTTCTAAAGTTGAGTCTGTAAACTGCAGCGTTAGCATTACAATGATTTATGTAGAAAATTGCTTTAGCACTGTCAGAGGCCTTCAGAGAATAATGTGGCAGTCTTTCATATTTAAAAAAAAAAAAAGACCAGAAAAATCCAAGAAACGGAATACAGCAAGATGTCTGTCTGAAACCTGGTTGTCAGAAAGCTTGATTCTTCCTGCCTGGTGCTTCCCAGGTCTGGTGGAAACGTAAGTACATCTCTCCAAGAGGCCCTGAGGTTTAGGGGCAAATGGTGCAGGTTTTTGTTGTTTGCACAGACTTTGGATTCTTCTAGGTTAGCTTATTATTTCTCTGGAAGGTCTTAAATCCTTTGGATGTCATTTAAGATAGCCAAGACTAACTATATTTATATAAATGTCTAACGATTTACAGAGAGGGAGAGAACTTGTTTTTTTGGCTGCTGAAATCTTATTCAACTCATCTGTTGACACAGTATTCAAAAACTGGAGCTCACCTTTGGGGTCCCTTATTACTTTTTCTTCTTCCTTTTTATCATTGCTTATTATTCCACTGCCTCTATGTAACGAACAAGACATGAAGAGGTTTCTCTTAGCATTCAAGCAGTACAATTAAGTTGGTTTCGAGATTGTATTTTTGTTTGTGTTCACCCTTTCCATAACATGACCTGAAATCCTTTCTTCAAAGGTGAGCTTAAAAGAAAAAACATCCATTACAAGTGTGTTTTCTATTCATTGAACCACTCTATTTTTTTGCTCCCCTTTTTACTCTGGACTACAATTACATGTCCATACAAATTCTCATATCTGGACTTCAAGAAGGTATCTTTTCTGTGTCTACCGTATTAAACCCCTGTTTTCCTTTTTTTTTTTTTTTTTCCCCTTTGTTAATGCACTGGGCAGACTAGGATTAGATGAACCATTTTATTAAGTTTGTGACTAGCAGCACTTCTGTCTTGGTGGTAGAGATAAATAAAATAAATGTAAGTGGGTTTATCCTTCACAGAATTATGTTTCAGAGTACAGTAGATGCTGCTCCTTGAAAAGATGAGAAATGAGGAGGGCTGAATTTTTCTTACAGTCTGTTAAATCGATCATTTTTAAAATGGACTCCTATTTACAAGTGGCAGCTCAAAACTGTGGATGGATCTGTCTTATGTGGACTGTTCCCACAGCTGGAAGGAAGAGAGAAATGCTTGGATAAAGGGACTTAAACTGCAGACTGGCCAAGGAAACTTGAAGTATAATACCCTGAACCTACCTGAAGTTGTGTTTCTCCTGTGGTTCTCTTACCTTACTTCATCTGAGGGTTTGGCCCATAGACCAGAGGTTGGTCTGGGGCTGAAATGGGATTTTGTTTAATTGGAGCTGAGTAAAGTACAGAGCTTTTCCCTTACTTTCTCTTCTTTTTCTCTGGACTGCAGAACTGATACGTTCCTAGTACATAATTGTGGTCTGGATCCCTTGAGCAGAAGCTAAACGTGGCTCGTACCCAGCGGAAGGGTTATACAGCTGGCAGTTCAGAGCCCTGAATTCAGAGTTCAGAGGCACCCTCAACTCTGTAACATAGCCCTCCGAGTCCCCGGGATGGGCTGCTAGTACCAAAAGGGACTCTGAAACCAGAAAAGAGCACATCTGCTCCTATCTCCAACC